TGTCCATTTTATAAAGTGGTAGGCCTATCTCCCTTCCAATTATTTGTTCTCACCAGAACTCAGCTCTGCTGGGGTATTCTGAGTTGGTCATTAGCAGACTTATAGTCATCAGGAAATTCTTGGCTTCAGTAGAGGGTTATGTTGTTATCTGTAGGTGAGCTTTACCTAGTGTGTTAATTCTGAGGCTTCATTGTGGCTGTTAGTGCTGTTGAAATCAAGAGATCAGTGTTAAACTTTCTTGACCTTTCTAATGAAACAGCAAAATTTTATTTTAAATCCACAGGTTAAAGACATATCATTTAAATAATGAGCATTTGTTGAGTGGCTACTCAGTGTGCCATCTGTTTCTGGGCTTTGTGGATCTGTAAGTCAACCTGACCCCTGTTCTTAGCGTAAAGTGCCCAGCTGTAGTGAAAAAAAAGGTGGCAGTGGCCGGGCGCGGTGGCTCACGCCTGTAATCCCAGCACTTTGGGAGGCCGAGGCGGGCGGATCACAAGGTCAGGAGATCGAGACCATGGTGAAACCCCGTCTCTACTAAAAATACAAAAAATGAGCTGGGCGCGGTGGCGGGCGCCTGTAGTTCCAGCTATTCGGGAGGCTGAGGCAGGAGAATGGCGTGAACCCAGGAGGCGGAGCTTGCAGTGAGCCAGGATCGCGCCACTGCACTCCAGCTTGGGCGACAGAGCGAGACTCTGTCTCAAAAAAAAAAAAAAAAAAAGAAAGAAAAAAAGGTGGCAGCTATTGGACATGGTCAGAATTCCTCTGAGTTTCCTAGGTGGCGTAGTATCTTTGCTAGGACTTGGTGGTCATGCATAATGAGACATGTAGAAGTCAGAACAGAAAGCATGGTGTAAGGCTGATTGGGCCCCTCTGGGTATGAGAAGAAAGAAAAGCTTCCAGCAAGGAGTTCATCTAAAGCAGTATCACTCCATGGTGTTTTTTTGTTTGTTTGTTTGTTTTTTGTTTTTTTTTTTTGAGACAGAGTCTTGCTCTGCTGTCACCCAGGCTGGAGTACAGTGACGTGATCTCAGCTCACTGCAACCTCCGCCTCCTGGGTTCAAGCGATTCTCCTGCCTCAACTTCCCAAGTAACTGGGACTACAGGCGCCCACTACCACACAGCTAATTTTTGTATTTTTAGTAGCGACGGGATGTCACCATATTAGCCAAGCTGGTCTTGATCTCCTGACCTTGTGATCCACCCGCCTCGGCTTTCCAAAGTGCTGGAATTACAGGTGTGAGCCACTGCACCTGGCCCCACTTCATGTTTTTTAAAACTATTTGAGGGGTAAACTGACCTAGATTGGAAACAGAGCAGGTCAAAACTCCTGTGCTGCAGGAGGATCACTCGAGACCAGGAGTTTGAGACCAGCCTGAGCAATATAATGAGCTCTTCTCTATAACAACAACAACAAATTAGCTGGGGGTGGTGGTATGGGCTTGTAGTCTTAGCGTCTTGGGAGGCTGAGGTGAGAGTATTGCTCGAACCCAGGAGTTCTTGGTTACAGTGAGCAATGATCATGCCACTGCATTCCAACCTGTACAACAAAACAAGACCCTGTCTGTGAAAAACAGAACAAAAAACCCTTGTGCTCATCAGTAGTAGGATCGTGTCTGTGAACAGCCACCGTACTGTAGCCTGGACAACATAGCCTCATCTCTATTTAAAAAAATAGGCTGGGCACAGTGGCTCATGCCTGTAATCCCAGCACTTTGGGAGGCCGAGGCTGGCGGATCATGAGGTCAGGAGTTCAAGACCAGCCTGGCCAAGATGGTGAAACCCCGTCTCTACTAAAAATACAAAAATTGGCCGGGTGCGGTGGCTCACGCCTGTAATCCCAGCACTTTGGGAGGCCAAGGCGGGCGGATCACGAGGTCAGGAGATCGAGACCACCGTGGCTAACACGGTGAAACCCCATCTCTACTGAAAAATACAAAAGAAAAATTAGCTGGGCGTGGTGGCGCCTGTAGTCCCAGCTACTTGGGAGGCTGAAGCAGGAGAATGGTGTGAACCTGGGAGGTGGAACTTGCAGTGAGATGAAATCCGGCCAAGGCCCCCCAGCCTGGGGGAAAGGGCGAGCCCCCCTCCAAAAAAAAAAAAAAAAAATTGACGTGGTGGCGGGCGCTTGTAATCCCAGCTACTTGGGAGGCTGAGGCAGAGAATTGCTTGAATCCGGGAGGCGGAGGTTGTAGTAAGTCAAGATCGTACCACTGCACTCCAGCCAGGGCGACAGAGGGAGACTCTGTCTCAAAAAAAAAAAAAGGGCTGGGCTCAGTGGCTCACACCTGTAATCTCTGCACTTTGGGAGGCCGAGGCAGGCAGATTGCTTGCGCTTAGGAGTTGAGGAGTAAACTAGGCAACATGGAGAAACCATGTCTCTACAAAATTTTAAAAAATTAACTGGACGTGGTGGCTTGCACCTGTAGTCCCAGCTATTCAGGAGGCTGAGCTGGGAGTATCACTTGAGCCCAGGAAGTGGAGGTTGCAGTGAGCCGCGATCACGCCACTGCACTCTAGCCTGGGAAACATAGTGAGATCCTGTCTCAAAAATAATAATAATAAAATAGGCTGGGCGTGCTGACTCACGCCTGTAATCCCAGCACTTTGGAAGGCCAAGGCGGGCAGATGACGAGGTCAGGAGATCAAGACCATCCTGGCTAACACGGGGAAACTCTGTGTCTACTAAAACTATAAAAAATTAGCCCGGCATGGAGGCAAGTGCCTGTAGTCCCAGCTACTCGGGAGGCTGAGGCAGGAGAGTGGTGTGAACCTGGGAGGCGGAGCTTGCAGTGAGCTGAGATCGCACCACTGCACTCCAGCCCGGGCGGCAGAGTGAGACTCCATCTCAAAAAATATATAATAATAATAATAATAATAAAATAAAAAATAAATTAAAAAGCTATTTGTATCCAAAGGCTGTATTTCAGCAGTTGTTAAAGTTTAAACAAGATGTCTTGTCTCTCTTCTCATTTTGTGATAGTGGTCTGTTGGGGACGAATAGCTTTGTTGAGGACACAGAGGAAATACCAGCCATAATTTGGGAAACCTAGGCCTAAAGTCTACATGGGCTTCTGCAAGAAAATACTGTGGCAGCATGCATGGGTCAGATGCCACTTACCTTGGAAGGAAAATAGGGACCCCCATCCTGAGCGAAGTAAGCTGTCTTGAGTCCTTGATTTTTCTCCAGATGTACCTGGACTATAGGACAGGAAGCACTCACTGATTGCATAGCCTTTGACACTCATTATATACTGGGATGTGCCCTTGTTTAGTAGGTAGGTGCTCACTTGTCTCCTTTCAGGAGTGACTTGAGTGCTAGAAGGAGGGATCATGTGGTGGTCACTGTGTGTCTTTCCTCTGCTGCAGTTCTTATCTGTGGACCAGACACATACTACCTTACGGATCCATGGTAGCTCTTGTTTAAGGACTCAGTCCAGTGAGCAGACAATGTTCTGTGTGTTTTCTTGTCACCCTAACTGTAAATATGCTCCTACTTTCTCCTTGCTTTAGTAGTACCCTCATGGTGTGTATTGCTTTCTCTGGGAAGCCTGATGATCTAAGGCTTCCAAACACATCCCAGTCTTCTGTGGTCTCACCCAAGTCTTGACACTTAGGGTGTTTTGTAACTAGCTTACGTCTCAATTACGACTATAACATGTAGATGCTTATATGCTTCTTTAACCTAACATTAAAATATGAGCTTCTAAGGTGGGTGAAGTGATATGCACCTGTAGTGCCCGAGAGGTTGAGGTGGAAGGATCACTTGAGCCCAGGAGTTCAAAGCTGTAGTGTGCTCTGATCATGCCTGTGAATAGCCTTGTATTCCAGTCTAGACAACATAGCGCAGCTCATTATTTAAAAAAAAAAAAAAAAAATAGTGGCCGGGTGCAATGGGTCACACCTGTAATCCCAGCACTTTGGGAGACCAAGGTAGGCGAATAACCTGAGGTCAGGAGTTCAAGACCAGCCTGGCCAACATGGTGAAACCCTGTCTCTACTAAAAATACAAAAATTAGCTGGGCGTGGTAGCGCATGCCTGTAATCCCAGCTACTCGGGAGGCTGAGGCAGGAGAATCACTTGAGCCTGGGAGACAGAGGTTGCAGTGAGCCGAGGTCAGCCAGTGCACTCCAGCCTGGGTGACAAAGACTGTCTCAAAAAAAAAAAAAAAGAACATCTTTCTATGTCAATAAACTAAATCTTTTAAAATAACCACGTAGTAGTCCATTGCATAGATCTGTCATATATTATTTAACTCATTTTTGTTGGATATTTAGGTTAGTTCTAATTTTTTACTATTGTAAATAATCCTGTGGTAAACATATCCTCTGTCATTTCCTCAGGGAGACTTTACAGAAATAGAATTGCTAGCTCAACCACCTTCTAAGGTTCTTTAGTAGCTGTAACCATGTGCTTTAAATGTCTCCTAAGAACATATAGAGGCCAGAAAGGCTGCCCACAAATTTTGAAACTGTCCTTGCAACTAGGACTCATTGGCTGCTGGGAATTCAGTGATTTTAAACTGAGTTTTGGGTTTTTATGTTTTGTTGGTTGTTTTCTGGTGTTTCTGTAGGGTTTATGCAAACCCAGACCTGGGGATTTTCTACAAGTAACAGGCCTTAATAGAGATGTGCTTCTGGTGTACAACCTCCTACAGCAGCTTGAGGGAACATATATGACATGAAGGAAACCCCAGCTCTGTTGTTTATGTTATTAATAGATGCTAGGTTGTTATTGTAAAATGAGTGTCTTTAAGTTTCAAATGAAATTAATTTTCTTGAAAGGTTTATTAATGAAAACAAAGATCGAAAATCAAGAGATTCTTGAAATCACTAAGATTGTAAGAGTCTGAACTTAAAAGACAAAGCAGAGAACCAAGAGGAGGAATTTGGTAATCCAGTCTGGGCTTGGCATAGACATGAATGTATGCGGTTCTCAAAATGTGAAACACCTTAAAAGAAAATGCAATTATAATTCGATTTTTTTTCTTTCTTCTTTCTAGGTATCTCATTCAGTTGCTAAACTTATATTAGTTAATTTCCACTGGCAAGTTTCAGAGATACTGGACAGGTAAGGTATTTGGGGGAGGAGAGATAACATTGCCCATAGCTCTGCTCTCCATGGTGATTATTGTTTTCATTTTGGACTATATTCCAATATGCATGGTATATTTTTAAAACATTGGATTCTGTTTTCCATCCTCTTCTCTTAATATGTTGTGAACTTTCCCTGTGTCTTCAGTATATTCTTCTACCCCAGTTTTATACTAGCACAGTATTCTATCGTAGATATTCCATGCTTTTTCCAAACCTCTGTTGTTGCACAGTGAAGTTAATTCAGATTTTCTTTCCCATTGTTAATTTTTAATCAGTGCGTTTCTAGGTAACACATGCCAACATCTTTTACTTCTTTTGGAGATGTCAACTTGAGGATTGTATCATAGTACAAGTCATATTTCCTTTAGAAAATGTAGGCTGCTGGCCATACGTGGTGGCTTACGCCTGTAATCTCAGCACTTTGGGAGGCTGAGGCAGGCGGATCACCTGAGGTCAGGAGTTGAAATCAGCCTGGCCACCATGGTGAAACCCTGTCTCTACTAAAAATATGAAAATTAACCTGGCGTGGTGGTGCACTCCTGTAGTCCCAGCTACTCAGAAGGCTGAGGCAAAAAAATCGCTTAAACCCTGGAGGCGGAGGTTGAAGTGAGCCAAGATTGCGCCACTGCACTCCAGCCTGGTGGCAGAGTGAGGCTCCGTCTCACAAAAAAAAAAAATACAGGCTGCTTTACCACCCACCACCTCTACCAGCAGCGTATTTGAGTATTTCTTTCCACCTCCTCCAGAACTAGAGATCTTAAGATACAGACCTTAGAGTCTCAAGATGTCTTATAAGTTGTCAGGAAAAGGGACACCTCCTCCTCTGCATCCTCTGTAGGAATCTTTTATGCTCACCCTTGGAGGCATGTGCCCTTGTCTCGCACAGTGTTTCTCATCCTCAGCATTATTGACATTTTAGACTAGATAACTCTTTGTTGTGGGGGCCTGATCTGTGAATTGTAGGATGTCTGGCAGCGTCCCTGGGCTCTATTCTGCCACACCTCTAAGTCCTTGGCAATCAGAATGTCTCCAAACATTGTCAAATAACTCGTGGGGAGCAAAATTCCCTCTGGTGAGAAGTACTTGTTACCATTCCTACTCTTTCACACTGCAGTAAATTTTCCTTTCTCATATGGTATGATTTTTTTTATTTTTATTTTTTTGAGACAAAGTCTCACTCTGTCACCCAGGCTGGAGTGCAGTGGCACGACATTGCCTTACTGCAACCTCCGCCTCCAGGGTTCAAGCAACTCTCCCGCCACAACCTACAAAGTAGCTGGGATTACCAGCACTTGCCACCACGCCTGGCTAATTCTTGTATTTTTAGTAGAATTTACAGAGGAAGGTCATGCTTTTCCTTCTCCAGGCTGAACACAACTGGGAAGGACATACCAGCTGGAACAGCTCAGCACAATCAGGAAAGAGCAAATGTGTTCCTGATTCACTAACTGCTCTCATCCTGTGTACTTGAGTTGGAATACATTTAGATGAAATTGCAGATGAACTTCTGCTGCCTTATTATTATACTACTGCCCAAAACTCGGGAACCACATAGGTTCTGGCAATAGGATATCTCTCACTGCCTAAACTCTTTCAGCATAACTCAGGAGTGGAGGTTTGGATGGCAAAGAGACTTAAAAGACTAGTGTGGGAATTAGGAATAAAATGGGCCCCTCAATAAGGATAGTTGAGGGAAGCATTCTGACTAGGTAGAAATCACATAGATGAGACATAATTCTTTTCTGCTCCAATTCCTAATATCTTGGAAATTTGTTGACCTGGGCTTTGTGTGGCACTTTATTGCCACTTGATAATTCTGTTTAAATGGAAAATTATTGTAGGTGACTCCTACTGTCACATCATTTTTCTGGAGTTAAATATAGAAAAGGAATTATTGGCTATAGCATACGTTTATTTTTGCCTTTGCTAAATAATTCCAGGTTGTTTTCCAGAGTGATTTACCACTTTACATGCTCAGCAGTAGTATATAGGTGTTCCTGATACTGTAAGACTTAAAGTTTTGCAGTTTGGTGGCTGTAAATGGCATCTAATTGTTTCAATGTCCTGTATTATTAAGGAGGTTGAGAATCTTTTCATATATAATGGCCATTTTTGCTGCCTCCTCCTTTGAAATGCCTGATAAGTCTTCTCCCCATTTTTTATTGAATTATGTTGTTCTTCTAAATGGATCCTTCCCCCTTCTCCCATGTCCAGTTCCTAGAACCAAATGGATTTTTAGGAGTTTTTGTTTACTCTGAATACTGATCCTTCACCAGTTTTTTTTATATATATATATAAAAAATATATATATATGAGTTTTTGTTTTTCCTGAATAGTAATCCTTTGCCAGTTATACGTGTGTGTGTGTGTGTGTGTGTGTGTGTGTGTGTGTATGTTTGTTTTGTTTTGTTTTGTTTTGGAGACAGAGCAAGACTCTTGCTCTGTCTCCCGGGCTGGTGCAGTCTCTGCTCACTGCACTACAACCTCCACCTGCCAGGTTCTAGCGATCCTCCTGCTTCAGTCTCCCAAGTAGCTGGGATTACAGGCATGAGCCAACACACCCGGATGGGGTTTCACCGTGTTGGCCAGGTTGGTCTCAAACTCCTGACCTCAAGTGATCTATCCACCTCGGCCTCCCAAAGTGCTAAGATTACAGGCGTGAGCCACTGCGCCCAGCTATATATATAGAATTTTTTTTTTTTTCTTTTTGAGATAGTCTCGCTCTGTCTTGCAGGCTGGAGTGCAATGGCACAATCTCGACTTATTGCAACCTCTGCCTCCCAGGTTCAAGCAATTCTCTTGCCTCAGCCTCCCAAGTAGCTGGGGCTACAGACGTGTGTCACCACGCCCAGCTAATTTTTGTATTTTTAATAGAAACGGGGTTTCATCATATTGGCCAGGCTGGTCTCAAACTCCTGACCTCAAGTGATCTGCCTCCCTCAGCCTCCCAAAATGCTGGGATTACAGGCATGAGCCTGGCCTAGAAGTTTATATATTGAATTATCTTCCAGCTTATGGCTTGGCTTTTGACTTTGGTGTCTTCTGATGAATTGAGGTTCTTAAATGTAGCATAATTTATCAGGCTTTATATTTTGCATTTTCTGTCTTGAGGAAAAAAGTCTTTGTACTGAGATAAAAGGAGGCTTGGTTCTATGAGAAAGTAGAGACAAAGATGCTCTAAACATCTTTGTCTGTCCTGTTATTGTTCAGGGGTAAAAATGTCTTTAGCTTCTGATTCCCTTCATTTCTGCTTTTTGTTTTGTAGATTCAAGTCCAATTCTGCTCAACTGCTTGTTGAGGCTCGAGTTCAGCCTAATCCATCAAAACATGTGAGTGTCTATTACTTGAATGAGGCTTCTCATGATTGCACATGGTTCTTGCTTTGGCTTGCAGTGTCGTTAAGAGCTATCTTTGCTTGGGCAGGCGCGGTGGCCCACGTCTGTAATCCCAGCACTTTGAGAGGCCAAGGCGGGCGGATCACGAGGTCAGGAGATCAAGACCATCCTGGTTAACACGGTGAAATCCCGTCTCTACTAAAAATACAAAAAAAAAATTAGCCGGGCGTGGTGGCGGGTGCCTATAATCCCAGCTACTCGGGAGGCTGAGGCAGGAGAATGGCGTGAACCTGGGAGGTGGAGCTTGCAGTGAGCCAAGATCATACCACTGCACTCCAGCCTGGGCGACAAAGCAAGACTCTGTCTCAAAAAAAAAAAAAAAGCTATCTTTGCTTTGTTTATAGTTCAACATGCCCACAGTATTTGTTCTAGTATTGACTTAAATCTTCTGTTACGGTTTGAAAAGTTTCCTTACAGTTAGGGACTAAATCATTGCCTGTCCTTTGGCCCTCTCCAGCCCCACCTTCCTCTCTGCACTTTCAGCCTGCACTCCATTCTTTCTGGGTGCCTTGGTGTTTCTGAGATTACCGCACATGTCGTCTATTCTGTTTGTGCCTTCCCTTCCTAGAACATCCAGACTCTGTTTCCACCTTCGCTTAGAGAGAGGGAATTCACCTTTAAAGACCCCAGTCCGGCCAGGCACAGTGACTCAGGCCCATAATCCCAGCACTTTGGGAGGTCGAGGCGGGCGGATCACTTGAGGTCAGGAGTTCAAGACCAGCCTGGCAAACATGGTGAAAACCCATCTCTACTAAAAATACAAAAATTAGCCAGGCATGGCATCTCATACCTGTAATCCTAGCTACTTGGGAGGCTGAGGCAAGAGAATCGCTTGAACGATTGAAGGCAGGGAGGTGGAGATTGCACCACTGCACTCCAGCCTGGGTGACAGAGACTCTATCAAAAGGAAAAAAAAGGAATCTAAGAATCTAAGCCACCTCTTTGACAAAGCCTTTCTCCTGGATCATTCCTCTGGAAACTCACCTAATTATATCTATAAACTTTTACACGTGTGTTATAGTGATTAACTCATATTGTTTTACCACCCCTACCATAGAAGCTGTATTTTAATAATGCATAGCAATTTCCTGTGTATCTAGGAGCTAAACGAACAGTTGTCAAATATTTTTTGAATGAGGGCCATGCTAAAAGAGATCTTGGAAGGCAGAATTGGGGCTCAGATCACCACATAATTTCTGCAGCCTCTTAAGACAAAGGTTTCCAGAAGCAAAATGGATAAACATGAGAATCCAGTTCTTTTCCTCAACTTGTTTTTTTATATTTCCAGTAAACTAAAAAGAAGCTAATGTTCTTGTAAGTGGACTTTTCTATTGGTTCGTGGTTTTAGCCAAGGTCCCTAGATTGTCTTTCTCTGCCAGTTTGTGTAGCATAATGTGGATTCTGGAGTACATGCTATACCGTTATTTGCACACATTCTAGAAGAGTTTCTTCCCTAGTAGGTGTCTCCACATCCCCCTGCCACCTCCCCATATTAATTACATGTGACATCTGGTGTATTAAGGATGAGTTGTAACTTGGTAAAGGCTGTAGTATTTTGTGGTTTGGGCACATCGATATAGTGAAACCACTGTCCTTGACAAGTAAAATTACAATGTTGGCCGTTAGACGATTTATAGACTTATCCTCTAATAACCTTTGTGACTGGGTTTCTAGTAGTTGTGAGGGGCAACTCTGCTGTGCTTAACAGGGGTAGTTTACAAAAGAAACCTGATAGCTTCTAAAAGAAGTTGGACTAAGTGACCTCTTAAGGACCTTGGCAATTCTGAAACCCTGAGTTTTTCAGTCCGCCATTATAAACCACCGTAAGTTCTCATTTCAGCCTTCTTTCTGCCTCTGAATCCTGGTGATTCTGTAAGCCCAGCCCAGCTGCTACATCCTTCAGGAAGCCTTCTTGTTGTATACTTTTAGCTTAGTACCCTTGGGACTCAGAGTCCACACATTGCAGTTGAGTGCTGATACTTGTTGCAGGGTAAGGATCACTTCCCATGCACCCGGCTGCATGAGGTATCCTTATGGCCTCCTGGACCTGACTCCTCTTTGGCTCATGTGGCTCTATTTCTCTCCAGGTTCCCACATCCCATCCGCCTCACCACTGTGCAGTGTGTATGCAGTTTGTGCGAAAGGAAAACCTACTCTCTTTGGCCTGTCAGCACCAGTTTTGCCGCAGCTGTTGGGAGCAGCACTGCTCAGTTCTCATCAAGGACGGCGTGGGCGTGGGTGAGTCTGCCACAGAACTTATAAAAAGCTGGCATTAAGTGTTTATCTTTGACTCTGCTTTTTCATGTACTCAAGTAAACTGAGTATTTTCTTCTGAGCCTGATTGAGCTTTTTATCATCAGAACTAATGATTTTCAAATACATCAATACAAACAGTGACAAAGGTTTCCCCAGTCCTCAGCAAGCAAAATGAGAAAACTAAATACACTGTTGTAAATGTTGACGTGAGTGCAGAGCAACCTTCTCTCACCTTTTGGGAGAACCGTCCTTTAAAATACCTACCTTGATTCCACAAGTGGCAACCATAACTCAGAAATGCCCACAAGAGTTTGCTGCTATTTAGGTAACATAGCACAAATCAAATTTGATGATACTGAAACAAATTAGTATCATATTAATTGATATCTGCAGAGTCCCACAATTGGTGATAATCACCTGTAAATAATGTTAAACATCACAAAACTCAGTTGTTAGTCAAGAACTCTAAATAAGGATTTTTAAAATGGTTTTGTTATTTAATGGTGCCATTAGTGATATCATTTGGGATAATGTTTTAGTTTCATTGCTGTGAAAATATGCTAATTTCTCTTTGAATAAATTCTGTTGCTTGAAGGGTTTCTTTTATGCAACTTGGATTTGTTGAGTGAATTGGGTGGGCAAATTGTGTCATTGTGTCTTCTGCAGTATGGTTGTCCATGATGGTTTGTTTGTTTGTTTGTTTGTTTGTTTGTTTGAGACGGAGTCTGGCTCTGTCGCCCAGGCTGGAGTGCAGTGGCCAGATCTCAGCTCACTGCAAGCTCCGCCTCCCCGGGTTTACGCCATTCTCCTGCCTCAGCCTCCCGAGTAGCTGGGACTACAGGCGCCGCACCCTCGCCCGGCTAGTTTTTTGTATTTTTTAGTAGAGAGGGGTTTCACCGTGTTAGCCAGGATGGTCTCGATCTCCTGACCTCGTGATCCTCCCGTCTCGACCTCCCAAAGTGCTGGATTATAGGCTTGAGCCACTGGCCTGGCCTGTTTGTTTTTTTTTTTGTTTTTGTTTTGTTTTTGTTTTTGAGACAGAGTTTCGCTCTTGTTTGCCCAGGGTGGAGTGCAGTGGTGCATACTTTGCTCACCGCAACCTCCGCCTCCCGGGTCCTGGTTGAAGCAATTCTGCCTCAGCCTCCTGAGTAACTGGGATTACAGGCATGTGCCACCATGCCCAGCTAATTTTGTATTTTTAGTGGAGATGGGGTTTCACCATATTGGTCAGACTGGTCTCGAACTCCCGACCTCAGGTGATCTGCCTGCCTTGGCCTCCCAAAGTGCTGGGATTACAGGCATGAGCCATTGCACCTGGCCCCATCAGGTTGTTTTTGTTCAACAGGAGTCTCTTGTATGGCTCAGGACTGTCCACTTCGTACACCAGAGGACTTCGTGTTTCCATTGCTTCCCAATGAAGAATTGAGAGAGAAATACAGGCGCTACCTCTTCAGGGACTATGTGGAGGTATGGCCAGCCTTTGTTCTGCCTTCTGTCTTCCTGGGCCTACCTTCCATCAAAGGGTCATTACTTACTTTATAGACTAGGGTGACATTAAGTGATTATGTTCGAAGAAAGAGCTCCATAGGTTTAAAAAAGTTTGAAAACCACTAGAGTAATAGTGAAGAGTACAGGCTCTAGAGTCAGACACACCATTGTGTGAAACTTGGATACTTCCTTGCTTTGTGACCACTCTTTTTTTTCTCTTGTGAGACAGTGCCTTGCTATGTTGCCTGGCTGGAGTGCAGTGGCGCGATCTTGGCTCACTGCAACCTTCACCTCCCAGGTTTAAGCGATTCTCCTGCCTCAGCCTCCTGAGTAGCTGGGACTACAGGCATGCACCACCGCTCCCAGCTAATTTTTGTATTTTTAGTAGAGATGGGGTTTCACCATGTTGGCCAAGATGATCTCAATCTCTTGACCTCATGATCTGCCTGCCTCAGCCTCCCAAAGTGCTGGGATTACAGGCATGAGCCACTGTACCCAGCCCCTATTTTTTTTTTTTTTTTTAATTCTGAGTCTTGATTTTCTCTTCCATAGACACACATCCCCACCTTGTACACAGTGGCTTAAAGAAGCTATTGTGTGTTCAGTGGATGAATATAAATTAGGCATATTTAGGAGCTGCTGTTATATTCAGTTCCCTGTGTGGTTGAGCAGAGAAAAGGGGTATTACTTTTTGAGTAATTGGAAAACTTGTCCAGGATTCCAGCATGGTCACTTTTGTAGTCCTTTCCCTCTATTAGGCCATTTGCTAGGCCTGCTGATTCCATGCAATATAATTTTCTTTTCTTTTTCTTTTTTTTTTTTTTGGGGGAGACAGGGTTTTACTCTGTCACCCAGGCTGGAGTGCAGAGGCACAAACATGGCTCACTGCAGCCTCTGACCTCCCAGACTCAAGCAGTCCTCCTAAGCCTCCCAAGCAGGTGGGACTACTGGCATGCACCACCAAACTCAGCTAATTTTTGTATTTTTTGTAAAGATGGGTGTTTCACCATGTTGCCCAGGCTAGTCTCGAACTCCTGAGCTCAAGCCATCCACCCAATGCAGCATAACTTTCGTATTTGTCTTTTTTGCCTAAGCTTTCCAGATTAATTTATGGTCTGGTTCTTGTCATGCACATGCCACAGGATAAATAGAAGGCCTTGTTCTTTATGCTGTTTGCTGCCTTTGAGGGTCACTGAGCTCCTCAGAGATACTTTTTTTTTTCTTTTTTTTTGAGATGGAGTCTCACTCTGTCGCCCAGGCTGGAGTACAGTGGCGGCACGATCTCAGCTCACTGCAACCTGTCTCCCAGGTTCAAGTGCTTCTCCAGCCTCAGCCTCCTGAGTAGCTGAGATTACAAGCTTGCACCACCATACCCAACTAATTTATTTATTTATTTTTTTTTTTTTTTTTTGAGACGGAGTCTCGCTCTGTCGCCCAGGCTGGAGTGCAGTGGCCGGATCTTAGCTCACTGCAAGCTCCGCCTCCCGGGTTTACGCCATTCTCCTGCCTCAGCCTCCCGAGTAGCTGGGACTACAGGCGCCCGCCACCTCGCCCGGCTAGTTTTTTTTGTATTTTTTAGTGGAGACGGGGTTTCACCGTGCTAGCCGGGATGGTCTCGATCTCCTGACCTTGTGATCCGCCCGTCTCAGCCTCCCAAAGTGCTGGGATTACAGGCTTGAGCCACTGCGCCCGGCCCCAACTAATTTTTGTGTTTTTTAGTAGAGACGGGGTTTCACCATGTTGGCCTAGTCTCAAAGTCCTGACCTCAGGTGATCCGCCTGCCTCGGCCTCCCAAAGTGCTGGGATTACAAGGCATGAGCCACTGTGTCCGGCTTTATTTGTTATTTTTTAATTTTTCTGGAGACAGAGTTTTGCTGTCATCCAGGCTGGAATGCATTGGTGCAATCAGCTCACTGCTGCCTCAAATTTCAGGCCTCAAGCAGTCTTCCCACCTCAGCCTCCTTAGTAGCTAGGACTACAGGCAGGAGCCACCATGCCTGGTGCAATTCTATATAACCTTAGATCATTCCAGTGAGTTGCTACCTGGTTTAAGCTAGACGTCCTAAGTTCCTCTTTAATATCTGGCTTATGTTTGGTTTTCACAACATCCTTTCTGAATTTATGTAACCCCTTGATATAAGTCATCAGCTGGGAGAACAGAAAGTGTTTGAATATTCAGGGGGTTCTGATTTTTAGACAGCAACTAAGAGATGTCCTCATTGTTTCCTCTTGGTGTGTTCACAGAGTCATTACCAGCTCCAGCTGTGCCCTGGTGCAGACTGCCCCATGGTTATTCGGGTACAAGAGCCTAGAGCTCGCCGAGTACAGTGCAATCGGTGCAACGAGGTCTTCTGGTAAGAGTGAGTGTGAGTGCTGAGCAGCCCTGGGCTCATGCCCCATCCTCCAAAGCACCACTGCTGTTGCTCCATGTGAGGGCGGCACTGGAAGAGGCAGGGTCTCTGAGCCAACAGAGCAACTGTGCTCCAAGTGGGTAGGTTTATGCCCAGCATCTCATATTCCACTAGGTCTTCAATACATGCTCAGTCTGGAGGCAAGGAATTGACACAGGTTCTTGGAGAATGTGTTGTGGCTTATGCTACTAAGTCTCATGGCCCAGAGATTGTGTGGGATGTATCTATCTTTATAGCTAATCACATATTACTGTGTTTGAAAGGTATAATCTTCAGCATTTTAATCTTTCTCTGTCTTGGCCTTTCTTGGCTAATTTTTGTAAAACTAAGTCATAAATATATTCTAGATCTACTGAAGGTTCACTTCATTCAGTAGATACCATGGGAATAACTAAAGTTTACCGAAGGCTTACCAGATGACAGACACTATCCTGATCACTTACCTTGCATTATCACAACTGTATATGACCCTTATATTCTCTCATTTTTTGTTGTTTTCTTGAGACGGAGTCTTGCTTTGTAGCCCAGGGTGGAGTGCAGTGGTGCATACTTTGCTCACCACAACCTCCACCTCCCAGGGTCAAGCAGTTCTCCTACCTCAGCCTCCTGAGTAGCTGAGATTACAGGCACATGCCATCATGCCTGGCTGATTTTTGTATTTTTAGTGGAGATGGGGTTTCACCATATTGGTCAGACTGGTCTCGAACTCCCTCTTATCGCTTGCGTGCGTCCTCCACTTTATGAAGTTACTTCCCTGGGTATCTTGCCTTGAGGCCTTTTCTAGCCAACAAAGTACTTGTGCCTCCACCAAAAAAAATTGAAAATTATGGAAGCCTAGCCCAACGAATATTGGGAGTCTTTTTTTTTTTTTTTTTTCTGTTTAAGTTTCAGTGTCATCAGATAATCCATGACCCTACAGATTTGCAAGTTCTGGCATTTGTGCATCCTTGGTGCATGTCTGGGCTGGGAAATCAGATGAGACTCCCAGAAATGGATCTCAATCCTGCCTTAGGTTCTGAGCTAAGGAGTCTCTCAGAGCACCTCCACCATGCCCTATGAGAGTCATAGCTCTGTGTTTGACATCTTGGGGTTGGTAAACAAGATGTTTAAACAAGATATTTAACATACATACGCATAGCTCACTGCAGCCCAAACCCCTGGTATGAAGTGATCCTTTCTGCCTTTAGCCTTTCCAAGTGCTGAAACTACAGATGCCCGGCTAATTTTTTAGAAATTCTGTTGTAGAGGCCAGGTGCAGTGGCTCACGCCTGGACCACCAGCACTTGAGGAGCCGAGGCCAGTGGATCACCTAAGGTCAGGAATTCAAGACTAGCCTGACCAAATGCGATGAATTCCCGTCTCTACCTAAAAAAAAACA